TAAACTTTGATTAAAATTGAATCTGTCTTAACTTTTCTCCCCATAAAGATAAGTTTTGACCTCCTCCCCTGTAGTCTTAATGGTGAGCTTTGACACCTCGGTATATATTAATAAAGACGTGGTTTGATGACCATTTAATGACCCCCTCATTCCAGGAGAAGCCCTTGTAAGCTGTATAAGCAGAAGTCAACCTCACTAACACCTGGTTATTTTGTTCAGGAATCAGGCCAGAAATATGACTGAACTATTCAATTCAGAAAACAGAAACCAGGGTTACACAAAGTAGGCATCCAAGGCGGACAAGTTAAATGCTTAAGTAAATATGTTGACATGTTCACTGTAAGAAATCAATGTTTTTCTCTTTAATATTTAACTAAACTTGAATACAGTGTGTTGGAGTAGAGTTTCCACTGGGTCTGTAGTGCACACCGGTCAATCATCACCATAAAACCACCTTCCTTCTATTGTGGAGGTCCCTCTCATTTAGCCAAAGCAGCTACATGCTGACATGTTGAGATATGGGGGTGTTCCATCATAATTTGGTCCTTGTCAGAGTTGCCCAGATCCTCATGTTTGTCCATTTTTTTGGGCTTCTGTCACGTCAGCTTCAAGAACTGACTTTTCGCTTGCTGTCTAATGTAATTCACCCCTTGACAGATGCCATTGCAACAAGATAATCAGTGTTAGTCACTTCACCTGTCAGCAGCCTAATTTGTTGGCTGTTTGGTTCATCACCAGCCACCTTGCTCCTTGTTTCTCACTTATCCTAATTCCTGTTTGTTCCTGCTGCCTGCTTTTGAATTTTCTCCTTCCAAAAATTAGATGACAACTAAATTCCAGTCTCATATCTGTACATGACAAAGGTATGTACCTAGAATCAGATGGCGATCAGCCTAGTTTAACTGTGCAAAGAATTGATTCATTGTGTCTCAAGTCCTCAATAAACTACTCCCTGAGAGGCTGTTTTACAACAGCAAAATCCATCTTTTATGATCATGGCACAGTCAAGATTACCAAAAATTTAGGCTAGTGACAAATTTCAAATAAAATAAAGCAGTCTTTACTTTAACCTGCCCCCAAATTGCTTATGCTATTGTTTTGAAAAGGCTTCCCAAACCTGAGGAAATGTAATATCGTGTAACCCAGGGCGATCGTGGCTCAAGAGTTGGGAGTTCGCCTTGTAATCGGAAGGTTGCCGGACAGTCTCGGACAGTCTCGGTCGTTGTGTCCTTGGGCAAGACACTTCACCCGTTGCCTACTGGTGGTGGTCAGAGGGCCCGTCGGCGCCAGTGTCCGGCAGCCTCGCCTCTGTCAGTGCGCCCCAGGGTGCCTGTGGCTACAATGTAGCTTACCATCACCAATGTGTGTGTGGATGGGTGGATGACTGGTTGTGTAAAGCGCTTTGGGGTCCTTAGGGACTAGAAAAGCGCTATACAAATACAGGTCATTTACCAGGCCATTTAATATAGAACAAAACAAGCATGGAGGGAGTAGTTGTTATGCTAGGGAAGTGTGATGAAGGGAAGGTCATTTTAATCAAACTAAATGTATGTGTGCATCTCTTTTTAAGCTCTATCCTGTCCGTAGCCTCTCAGATTGTCATTTTCTTCCACCATTAAATTCAGTCTTCTCATTTCCTGCCTTGCTCTTTTTAAAATCTCTCTCCTTTCATCCTCCTTGTCTCACTTTACGAATGCTTGTCGTTTTTCTTCTCCTTCCTCCAGAATCTTTCCCTCCTGTTTTCCGTCCTTACCCAACAAGCGTCTCTAAATCCGTGTCCTTGTCCTTCTGTTCTCCTGTTTCTCTTCTCCTCGAAAACATTCATGAAAATGTAATGTGCATTTAAACATTACTAAATCACAGTCATTTTGTGCCATTATGATAATTGCCATAAACAAACAAGACCATTACAGGAAGATTTGCATCTCCTATGAGCCTCCACAAAGCATTTTGCATTATGTGATATTGGCTGAGGTCTGCCATAAAATGTGCAGGAGTGTTTCACAAGAACAGGGTGCTGTTTCTTTTAGCCTAAATTGAACCAAAACATTCAGAGTGTCTGTAATGGCAGATGGTGAAAGAACGAGGGAGAAAATTGCCTTCATCATGTTTATCCTGAGAATGTGTTTCTTGAAAGTATAAATTGTGTAATTGCTGAGTTTCTCATGTTTAAACAGGAAAGACGAAACATAGACAAATGTTTAGTCATGTTTAGTTTATTCATATTAGGAACTAGTAGCCTATTATCCGTCATTTGAACAGGAAAAAAGTACATAATGTACATAATCTTTCACCCACTTTCTCCTTGGTGTGAAAACCTTTGTAATTTCTTTTATTTGAGGGATTGAGTTGGACTTAAATATTAAAACAGCACCACTGTTGAATACCTCAACCTTTCCACAGACAACATTACCTGATCAAATACTGAATTTTGACAACTTGTTGGGCATAAGAAGTCTGCAAAACTACATGAAAAGATGCTGAAACTGCTTTTCAAAATGAGCCACATGCATTTTTCTTTCCTTTTTTGCTGGACAATTTTGACCCATTACCATCTGAGGCAGCTGGATTCTTTATGCGATTCACAAGAATCACGAGAATCCCTCTTGCCAGGTCAGCGAGCCCTGTGTCATTTCCATTTAGTCCAAGCTGCTGATGTCTCAGAGATGCACACGAGGTGCAAAAGTGTGACCAGTCTCACTCCACACACATCATGTTTGAACCAAAAACCCAATCTTTTGAAAAACTTACCCAACGACTTTTTGTATGCATGGATAAATAACTAGTAAAAATTCTTATAAATGTCTGGTGTACCTTTAAAATAACCTTACATATTTATAAATGTTCTACACAGTATTTATTAACTTTTACAATAAAAGAGATATAATAATCTTCTACAAACTGATTGGTAACCAGTTAGCAACTCAAATAAACTGTCATTTTATCAGTAAGAATAAGTTTTAGTTGTTCTCTCCCTTCAAATCTTCTGTAAACGTTGGTCTGCTTGCAAACTGACACTAACTTTTGTCTATAACTTGTCCCTAATCATCCAAAACTAAATGGCCCTAAATGTTGATAATTAAATGTGTTAATGTTTTTCCAGTTCTCTGTACTTGGCACCCGAACGCACCATGTTTTTTTTGGCAATAGTGAGACGGCTTGGTCACCCTGAACTCATCAAATGTGGATCCTTGTAAAGTACTCCTTGGCTTGTGGTGTGTAAACCCAAACACAGCTAAACAGAGTGAACACAAATTAAAGGGCAATACTCAAAGCACCCAAACGCTATGGCTTTCTCTATTGCCACCCAGTCGGCTTCCAAATCCAGACTTTATCAGGCTGTTAAAAAAGAGTTATCTGTGTCCAGTTTTGCCATTGCCATCGTATCAAGGCTCTAATGGAAGCCTTTTTGCATATTTATGTGCTACCAGTTGATGGGGACACTGCGGTTTTGTTTTAGACTCTGTGATGAAAATTTGTTGGATTTTCCTAAACCATCCTCTGTCAGTGTGGGAGCAGTAGCTAAAGTTAAACTAAAATGACACTGAAAAGTGAAATGAGTCATTGCTCTCATTAAAGCAACAGGGAAAAAATGTATTCAGTGACACACCAAGCTGCTGTAGCATGGATCATTTCCTATCTTATATGACTTTGGAAGAAAGCGCCACATAAACGAGGAGAGCTTGTGTATTAATATGTTGATGGATGATAAAATCAAAGCATTCTGTTGTCTATTGTACAATCAAGATACTTTTTTTTTGTCATCATGACAAAATAGTTTTTCTCCAAAGCTTTTGTTTTTAATTGAACTTTGTGGAGCGACTGTGGATTTGTGAAAGAAACACAAAAAGCAGATTTGCTTCAAGTGAAAATATGAAAAAAACGCATATATTATTGCTGTCTCTGTGGATGACGCCCTTCCTGTGTGGTTATCTGTTCATGGCTCATGTGTCCTTCTATTTATGAGTCTGTCTCTTTTGAGTCCATTGTGGCAGCTTTTGGAGATGGCACTGCATTTCCGCTCCTCTGGCTCTTTGTAGTCATATAAATATCTGCGCGTGCATGTATTTGTGTGTGTGTGTGTGTGTGTGTGTGTGTGTGTGTGTGTGTGTGTGTGAGGGAGACGGGGTTGGTGGGGTCTGAAGCCAAAGAAGTCACAGAGCCCCGGGCGACTCTCAAGAGAAGATGGACACTTGCTTCTACACCAGTTTTCCTCCATGTACATACACATGCAAACACCCGCACACCCAACAACCAACCAACCAAGATACACACATGCGCACACACGCACACACGCAGTAACACACACACTCTTGTTTTCTCCTCACCGCCCCAGGGAAGAGAGGAAGAGAGGAGGCTTTCAAGGCGACTGTGGAACCTTCAGTCAACCAGAAAAAGGGAATTTTTTTTGCTTTGGCATATCCCAAACTGATTCAGTTGTGTGTGTGTCGGTGTGTGTCTGTGTGTGTTTGTCTTTTAAGGAGAAAGAGACAAAAGATGGAGCTGGAGAAAACACAATAAAGGCTCTTATTAAAGCAGAAAGGGCACATTTCGACTTTCCAATTCAGTTCTAATCAAGTGCCGCGCCACACTAAATTCATCATTTGTCTTCCTGCTTTTGGCTGAATAATTGGATGAGATGCATTATGATAGATAATGTGTTGCGCGGTCCATAAAGTGGCCATAATGCTACCGAGAGACTATAGAGAGTGGTGGGTGCTGCGCAGAGTATAAAGTGTGGCTCTGTGCTAGAATGACAGACAGCTTTTATAAGACAGCGTCGAGTCATTTTGGCCTGATAAGACACACTTTGTCCAGGCTCTTAAGCCTTTGAAAAGTGGAATACGCTTTGCTGTCCTTGGATGAGAGTACTCACCCTCAGTCATGTCAATTTGTCAATTTTGTCCTTTTCTCTGTCAATGTTTCTTTTTTGTCCCTTTACAGTCATCCATTTAGTGACAAATGACTTCTTAAATGTCTCTCTATCTTTCGCTCTGCAGGGAGATGAAGTACTGACCGTCATTAAAACGAAGGCTCAGTGGCCTGCGTGGCAGCCTCTCAACCTGTAAGTATATCTACAGTGTCAGTTTTGCTCAAGGGTGAGGTGCATCTTGGAAAGATGTGGTTGGAAATATTGAAAATTTAAACTGAACCTGTGAAACATCAGCCATAAAATTAAATTCTTGATTAAAGTTTTTGTTTTACTTTATTATTATTATTATTTATTTACCTTAACATTGTATTAGCTGACAAAATGATAAAAAAAAGAACCCCAGTCAGAGACAATGGGTATCCTGATCATAGTTATTGACTTTTAAACCTTTTTTGTTCATCTGGGTTAATATGACGTTTGACTCTTCTTCTCTACAAAATAGACAGATGGAGCGATTCAGACACAGTCAATAGGCGATATAAAGAAGGTCAAACAATTTAAAAACAATAAGCAACACTGGTTGCAAATAAGAGAACAGTGTTGCAGAAAATTCTTAATCTTTTGAGTTTACAAGTGAACATATTTTTTTTACTGTTTGTGTGAAAGCTGAACGTTCGAGTGGAAAAATCAAAACTTGAACATTGATTATAGGCTATTTGATTCATTCAATTCATAACAGTGGAAATCAATTTAGTTCTTGACTCGATCAAAGTGAAATTAATTGTATTTATTGATTTTTTTTCTTGCTGATAGATGGCCTAACTCTAGTTAACCCTTTAAAACCGGTCAGAGC